AGGTTGTGGAGTCTCCTCCTCTGGAGACTTTGAAAACTCACCTGGACACGTTCCTCTGTGGCCTGCCCTGGGTGATCCTGCTTTGGCAGAGGGGGATTGGACTAGATGATCTTCTGAGGTCCCTTCCAACCCTGAACATTCTATAATTCTATAACATAACTTAGATTCTCTGGCAGAAACCACTTGCAATACCAGATTTCTTAAAAGTAAAGCAGAAGTATGTGTTATTACAAGCAGTAGTGCCGAAAACATTTTCGCAAAACTAAGAAAGTTTAATTTTTTCTGAAATAATGAAAGGTCAGGAATTGTCTTTCCCTCGTTCAAGCCCAAGTCTCATACCATTACGAAGTTCCAGTTTTAGGAGGCAGTGCAATATTCTAGTAATACAAAGTATGTCTAATAAAATGTTTTTTTCTGTATTTTCTAGGGGGCTCAGTTGCTCATTTGTTAAGTAAATATGGAGCCTTCAAAGAATCAGTTATTATTAATTATACAGAACAACTCTTACGGGGCCTTTCTTACCTCCATGAGAATCAGATAATCCATAGAGATGTTAAAGGTGAGAATAATTCAGAATGTCTTGTAAAAAGGAATTTTCAAAAAGCATCATCTCTTTTGGCTTGAGACCTATTGCTTCTGTTAGATACCTTCTCAGGAGTGGTATTTCTATACCTGATCATTCTTAAGAATGTTTAGTTACTGAAATTAATCAGCACGTTCTCAGCATACTTAAGGATATTTGCTACCTGTGCTGATAATTTAGAAAAATTGTTTTTCTGTAGTTGTTCAAATAAAAATGTGAAGTTGCCATGTAGCTTTAAAGATTGCTAGTTAAATCTGTGTAAATATTTACACAGAAATGACAGTAAAAACTGTGAACAGGCCAAGATAAAGAGTTCTGGTTTCTAATGTATAGGAGCATTGTGATGAGTTTTCTTCCTTCCTCCTAACTGAATATCAATAGAGTTGTATTGTGTGTGTGAGCCAAATGAGGACTTTATTGGGAAGTACCTGTATTACTAAACTTTTCCCTTTAATGTAACTGTAGCTGTCCATGATCTGGAGAGACAGCAGATAAGTAGCAACATATGAATGGCAAATATTTGTCTATAATATTTCTTCTTAAAATAGGAGAACTTTTCAGTTGCTCTGTAATTCTCTTGGACAGCTCCAAGCTGCTTAAGGATGAAATAAGTTTAAATTTCACAGGAAGCTGCATGCACTGAAAACCTTCAGCATTTTAGGTCACCATTTTCTTTCGTTATTCCATTTCCAGGCATTGTTCCAGAATGTTGTTTGCCCTACTTTGAAAGTTCAATTGCTTCTCTAAATACCTCGCAGAGCCTCAAGCAAAGTGCAGTATCATTCAGGCATAACAGAAAAGTGACATTACTAGACTTGGTCCTTGATTTTTAAACATTCTTGATATTGGGGTAGGGAATGTCAACCCATTTATAGTTTTAAAACAGAGAGAGGAAGAGTGTCTGTTCATCTGTTTGCCTTTAATATAAAGCCAACTAGCAGTATTTTTATTATGCTGTTGACAGGTGCCAATTTGCTAATTGACAGCACAGGTCATAGATTAAGAATTGCTGATTTTGGAGCTGCAGCCAGGCTGGCATCAAAAGGAACTGGTGCTGGGGAGTTTCAGGGACAGTTGTTGGGAACTATTGCATTTATGGCACCGGAGGTAAGAAACCAGTTTTGTTAAGTTACTTTCAAAAGTTTGTTTGAACTCTTTAAGCTAATTCATTCAGCCAAATAACCAAAACCTGCTGCAAATGCTTCAAAAAAGTTTTAATTGTGCTTGTTCTAAAGAATAGGAATAATTTCAACATGAGAATAATGACATTTCTGTCTCCAAGTAGCTTGTTACAAGATAAGTCTATCATAAATGTTGTTACTGAAGCCCAAATGACAATTTGGTCAAAACCCTAATTATTGCAAAGTACTTGCTTTGCCCCTTGATCAGGCATTTTATTTACTATCTCTCTAACCTGCAATGTTAATCTGAATGCACTTGGTTGATGATATTTTTTCTTTGCACCTAAATTCCTTAAAGTTAAGAGACTTTAACATGGATAATCTGAGTTTTGGTTTGTCTGTTCAGGTTCTGAGAGGTCAGCAATATGGTAGGAGCTGTGATGTGTGGAGTGTTGGCTGTGTTGTTATAGAAATGGCTTGTGCTAAACCTCCCTGGAATGCAGAGAAACACTCCAATCATCTTGCTCTGATATTTAAGGTGAGGTATTTTGTTGCTACAAATGTACTACAAAAGATGCTGGCTAATTTCATACACAGCAATGTGAATTTTGGAAAAATACAAAATAAGTAGGGATTGTTGCAGTACCGCTTCTATATATTGGAGCTGTTAGTACAAAATCAATACAGATACTGACATAATCATGCTTGCTGGTTTGGGGAAAAAAGCAACCAACATAAAGTGCAGAAAAAGCTCTGTTCAGAGATATTATAAATATGTGGTGTGGCAGGCTAAATAAATAATTTTGGAACAGAGTTCATTTTGACTCTAGGCAGAAAATGAGAATTTGAACTCTTTCTTACAATCCTGTAAAATACTGGAGCAAAACAAGTTGTTCTACCATGAAACAATTATGGGTGTAAATTTCATAGTGGGAATGCCCTTTGGTAAAAAGCTGATATTCCACATTCAGATTTTACTGAAAGATATTTATCATTGTTATATAGCAATATTGCTCCTCCATTTTCTAGGTCATCCATTTTGACATTCATATTTTTTACTAAAATCAGTTACATATATTTCTAAATGTCTAGTTAGGCTGTAGGCATAAATGAAGAAAGGTACTGCTGCAAGTGAAAAGCATGACTGTTAGCATTTAGTGAAGAAAGTGTTTCCACAAAGCAGAACTAGCACAGTCGTATTTGAGTATGTTCTAATTAAGAATGAATCACTTGTAACAAGAGATGTAGTTGCCTTGGTTCTATGTCTGTGTGAATCTGTTGGTGGTTGCTCTAGTGTTCTCAACCATTGTGCTTAATTTTATCTAGAGAAGATCGAATTTAATTTTGGTGGGATACATCGGTGTATTGAGATATTGCCCTTCAGGATAGCAGCAGAAATACAGTAAAGACAATGCAAGAAAGCATGCACAGCTTAACATACTGTAGTGTAACATCACTGAGCTTAATATAGCTGGCTTATGCCAGTTAACAGTGATGGCAACTAGTAGACTAAAAGTAGATTAAAGAATGCCTACATGTATGGCATAAAAGCTTTTTTTATGGCCTGCTCAGCAGATGGTCACTGTAGAATCATGCTGTAAGAAAAAAATCTAGAAAAGTGCTAGGAGAGAGGTGGCAGATTGTGAAAGGCCATGTAGGCATAGGGTGACTGAAGGCCCATTTTATAAAATGCAAGCAGTGATGTAATGCTAAAACTGCAGTAGGAAATATGCTCGTGGAGAAAAGCTCATAAATATAACTCACCAGCTGGAAATGATTGTGTTGAAAGGTTTTTTGGGGTAGGAGAGGGGTCTTAAGAACCACCAACTCTAAAAGGTTATTTTCCCTTTGTTCAGATTGCTAGTGCAACCACTGCTCCATCAATCCCTACACATCTGTCTCCTGGCTTGAAAGATGTGACTCTTCGGTGTTTAGAACTTCAACCTCAGGACAGACCCCCATCAAGGGAGCTGCTGAAACACCCAGTCTTCCGTACTACGTGGTAGCTACTTATGTATAAGGCTGATATACTCAAGAAGATGCTACTGAATATACAATAACTCTCTTGCGGCGCAGTTAAGCACAGAAAATCATATTATTCCGATGGCCTTAATGACAGATACATCAAGGACTTAAGGCCAGTGGAGGATCTTACCTAAGTATGTGATTGACAAATCTTTACCTAAGCTCGGTATGCAACATTTCACAGCTCATGCAGAGTTTTATAAACTGTGCCTTTCAAACATCTGGCTCTATGTGAACACAAAAGCATTTTTCCTTAAATCTGCATGATTATTCAGCAGATAAGTGATTTTTATTGTATGTGGAGCACTTTTTCAGCAATATTAGCCGCTGAGGGGCTCAGGATCTATGTTAATATAGCAATCACTGTTCCATTTCACATCATGTAGATGTAAGCAGAGGACTCTGCAATTAGCCAGTTTTCAGCACTGGTTAAAAAGAAGCTCTGAATCTGTCCCTTTTAATTACATAGAGCTCTGTGAGTAGCAAATCCAAACCTATGATCCAAGTATAGTTTAAAGAAACATTTTGCCTTCCTTAATGTAAGAGCAGGCAGTTGTGTTTCACTGTGCATTTACTGCTGGCTGTGTAATTTCTTTTGAAATTAAAGTTTGTTTTCATTGTATTTTTAACTTTCAGAAAAAGGGGATCTTTTAAAATAGTCTTTAGAAAAAGATGCAAGCTGTGTCATGGAACATCCTCCTGACACAGCAGTTTAAAAAAAATAAAACCAACCAGATTTGCTGGAAATCTGGAAAAAAAAATGAAATGCCACCTTCAACAAGGCCATGTTGAAGGCTGTGATAGTGTAGGTTATTTAAAAAAGAAAACAGAAACAACTAAGATTGTTCTGCTTAAAACAACTTAGCCTGAATCATGCTAAAAGTTGTTGAGCCTTTTTTTCGTACAGCTGTTTCTACGGGCACATCGTCTAGAGAAAGTTTATGTGAAAGGCTCCAAACCCAGCTCCCTGGACAGTTTATGCGAGACTGTTCTGGACTTCAGTGGGAGCAGGTGCCAACTATGAGCAAGTCTCATTCTTTGCATAATAAAACTGAAGTCATGTTCTCTACTGATGACAAGTTTTACCTGCTGTTTTCCTTCTGCCATACATCATCTATTTACTGTAGCCATTAGTGATAATTTAATTTGAAAATGTTAAAAATCTTACCATAAGAAAGGTATTTATTTTACAAGAAGCAAACTTGGACTTGAAAAGCAAGATAAAGTAAAATGTGAAGTAAAGCTTCACCCATAGTGCAAAACTTGTGTTTTTTAGGAGGTGTGTTGTGGTGTTTTTTTTTTTAAAAAACAGGTTTTTAAAATTATTTTAAAGGCACGTTTTTTAGATTCTGATGCATGTAATTCTGAAGGAAAATGGCAGCTTTTCTTTTGCTTTTTAAAAAATGGGGATCTTTTTAAATCAAGTACTGATTGTGTTTATAATCCATTTGGAAAAAATACTGTTTATGTTTTAACTCTTCAGAAGCCAGTCAGATTGTTGGACTGAAATAGAATTGGTTATTTTCAAAGACTCAGGAGAAACTAAATAAGCTATAGTACATTAAAAATGTACAATAGAAATTGGAAGTAAAACATCTTAAAGATAAGTTTACAGGAATGACAGTGCTCATACTAGTTAAAAAAAAAAAGCACTGTCATTAGTTGTGAATGTGTTTCTTTTGGAAATTTTACATTCCTTTGTTTTGGAAGATTGGCAATCTTTGAAGAGTTAAAAAGATAATACCGAAATGTGAAGTTTGGTAGCTCTAACTGTTTTGTACTTGACTTTTTTTTTTTTCTTGACCACTTTAGAATTTCTCATTCTAATAAGATTGTTTCTGTCTTTCTTATGTGCAAGCTTTAAAGGATGCACTCTTGCCAATTCATGTACTGGAAGATCAGTTGTCAGATTAATACTGTTTCTGGCTGAAATGTAAACTGTATAAACTGATGAACCTCAGCTAATCAGTATTACTTTGTAGATCACCATGCCTACCACATTTCAAACTTAAACTGCCTCTAGGTGTCCAAATGCATTTGTTTTGAGTTTTTTTGCATTTCCCTCAGCTTGCTGGTAATTGTGGTGTTTTTTAAATGCAGATGTGATGTAATATTCTTATTTTCTTTGGATCAAAGCTGGACTGAAAATTGTATTGTGTAATTATTTTTTGTGTTCTTAATGTTATTTGGTACTTAAGTTGTAAATAACGTCTACTGCTGTTTATTCCAGTTTCTACTACCTCAGGTGTCCTATAGAGTTTCTTCTACCAAAGTTCACTTTCACAATGGAATTATATTTGCTATGTGACCGATTCCTAAGACTTCCAGGGCTTAAGGGCTAACTTCTATTAGCACCTTACTGTGCAAGCAAATTTTACAGAAATCTCTGGGTTAAGAAATTTGGCTTCATTGTATCCTTTGTTATTTTAAATATATCAAGATATTTTAATTAAAAGTTTTTACCCCATTGAACCAATTTTATATAGTATAATTTGTACCTATTTTGGTGGGTTTTGTCTTTATAGTAAATAAAAGTTTTTGAACAAATTTTGTCCTTTTGTTATTGTAATGTAAACACATTCAGTTTACTGATGCGAATAAAATATTTCTGGTACACTTCACTGTTTATACAAAATTTCATATATCAAGACCTGTTTTCTAATATTAAATGACACATAAGAATGCCTGTTGTCTGATATTCATATATCTTAAGTGTATCTAAATAATGCCTAGATAAAGGGGAGCAAACATTAATTTTTAAAAAAGATATAATAAAGGTATGAACTTCTATCACAACGCTGTATATATGAACCTTGCTTATGCCCTTGGGTCAAAAACACTGAATGTCAGGTTTTGCATTACTGCAAGTGTAATTATTAATTTCAAAGATAGGCGAGCTCATTTAGTTAGATCAGTTCTGGAGCCATTGAGGTGTTCCGTGAAATTTAACCTGCTATTTTACGTTTTCATTGAAATTACTCTGTTGCTTGTGATTTACGTAGCAAATGTAAGCCTTTCGTTATTCTGGCAGTCTGAGGATGTATTGCAAAGCTAGTGGTTGTTCCAGTTCCTTGTCTTTCTCCTGTTTTTTGATATCTTTAATCAATATTTTGATAGTTCAAGTGTTTGTGTAGGCTTTCTTGTGACTATTAAATTTTACATTTTGAAGGATCACTATATTCTCCATTACTTACGTACTTTCTGCAAATACAGACAAACATCATATCAGTTCACTGGCAAAAAATAGCATCAGACATCTGCAGGTAAATTCTAATACCTGATTTTTAAAATCAGAAAAAAATGTACCAAATGAAATGTCAGGAAGGAAGATATTTGACAATCATGAAATAAAAGATAAACTGAGTGTAATGTTTATTCTTTTATTTGATTCACTGTAGAACTCCTGAACCTTGCAGTACTGCATGATAATTATCATGTTGCAGTCTCTTTTTTAGGAACAAGGGATGGCAGAGATCACCTGTCCCCACCTACTTATAGAGGCAAATGTCTTTGTTTGTAAAGGGCATGTTCAGGTCTTCTGCAGGCTAGTAAGCTGTGCCCATTTTGATTTCTCTGGTGGGAATAATGTTATGATCCATGTTCTAAGTGTTGCTCATAGTTTGAAGTCTGACAGTGAAAGGTAACAATTGCTTCCAGAATATGCTGGAGTGTGACGATCATGTGCTTTTTCTTCATCCTCTGAGTGGGCAACTTGTGTGTATGACTCCGCCCACTTCCCAAGACACACTGTATTTTCCTTACTAACTTTTTTCTCATTGCATCGTTTTCCCTGCTGAATAACAAATGCACCAGTCTTGCTTTTAAGAGCCAGAGTAGGTATATACTGTGACAAAAGTTTTTCTGTGTTGTTTTCTCATTAACAGGTTGGTGTTTGTTAAGGCCCACAGCTGCCAAAATTCAGAATTATATTGTGAACTGAGGCCTTTCTTCCCTGTCATTACCAAGAAAGTCCAGAAGATGACAGGAGAGCATTCTGAGGCAAACACTGTGCCCTTTCCTTTTATTTGCCTCAAATTTTTTCAGTTTGCAACTTACCATCACTGAGTTCCTGTTCTTGAAAAAGATGTGCAAAGTCACTACTAGAGTTAAATTAAATGTTACAAGTGAATACAGAGTAAATCAAGAGTTAGCTTTTAAGTGTTTACAAGACTCTGATCTGGGAAGTTAATTCTGCTTGTTTTGTTGTTTTGGTAGGCCTGACTCACAAAATCCCAAACTCTTGGCAAGAGTTCAAGTCCAGACACAGAAGTATATGCCTTCATACTGGTTTGAGGTTTGATTTCTCAGTTCACCCCAAAACCAATTCTCAAACACCATCTCTCTATGATTTTTTTTTAAAAAACTAATTTCCTCAGAAAAATACTGTCATGCTGTCTCATTTTCCCTATAACTTTTAACTTCATTGGCAGATTCTACCTAGAACTGCAGATAAGGAGCAGAATGCAGATAGTTTTGTGGAAGTAGGTACCCAAGCAGAGAAGGGAGAACAAACAGTGACTTTGTCTTGATATAACTTAATGATTTGTAAAGAATGATTTGGGAATCTTTGTTAATTTTTGAAGATCAGTAGCTGAGCAATTGTTTTCTTTAGCAGATTTGTTTTTTAATGTGTTTATTTTACAGATGATGGTAGAATGTGGCACAAAACGAAGCTTGTTTACCACTCCCTATGCACTTCAGTTGTAAATGCTCATAGAATCATAGAGTCACAGAATGTGAGGGGTTGGAAGGGACCTCAAAAGATCATCCAGTCCACTCCACTGCCAGAACAGGATCACCCAGGGCAGGTCACAGAGGAAGGTGTCCAGGTGGCTTCTGAAAGTCTCCAGAGAAGGAGACTCCACAACCTCCCTGGGCAGCCTGTGCCAGTGCTCTGTCACCCTCACAGGGAAAAAGTTTCTCCTCATGTTGGGGTGGAACTTGCTGTGTTCTAACTTAAACCAGTTAATCCTTGTTCTATTGCTGGGCACCACTGAGAAGAGATTGTCTCCTTCCCCTTGACACTCACCCCTCAGATATTTGTATATGTTAATAAGATCCCTTCTCAGCTGTCTCCTTTCATGATTTCACGCTGCTGCCACTGATGATGCTCCAAAGCACAACTTGCATCTCCTTGTGACCAGGGCCAAATACTGGCCAAAACTGGCTGAAAAGGTGTAAGAATAGTGGGTAACATTAGAAGGGTAATGGGATAGTGCTGGGATTGACCCCACTGTTGAGGAGGTGGGCTTCAACCACTGCTTCTACATCATTTCGTTATTAGATCTTGCCTTTTTTGGGTTAATAAAACACAGTAGAAGCACGTGAGTTGTGTCTTATTTACATATATAAACTTTAGTTTTCCAGCTTCTTTATGGTACAAATACACCGTGCCCTTAGGCGACCTGTGGTTAACTA